CCCAGGGGCTTGGGGCAACGTACATGGCCCATTCCATGTTTTTAATCTCACAACAACCCTGAGAGGTAGATTACGTTGCACGGGCATGACTGGCCAAAGGCTGCAAGCAGAGATTCCCTCTGTGGAAACCTGGGCAGCTGCTAGCGATCATTTCTCGGTACAGATACGGAGTTCTGTCTTGCAGAATTTGTATATCTTTATTTTTATAATGTGTGCCTATGGTGGTTCACAAACACTGTTCATTAACGATCGATCCAGGTGGGGCAACCCGGGCACAGTTGAGGCCAGCAAAGTTTTATTCACAGCATAAGATTTCATGTGCATGCACACTTGTCTCCGAAACTTTGAAAGCTTATACTCAGAAATAAACTTGGTTGGTCTTAAAGGTGCCTCACTGGACTCACACTTTGTTCTGTTGTTCATTAAACTGTAAACAATTTATCAATACAAAGGAACCACCGGGGAAAAATAAAAACACTAACGGATAAGGAGCCCCGGCAGAAGCTGTATAACTGCGTGTTTGTCGAGTGCTGTCAAAATTGCTTCCGACTCGTACCGACCCCGTGAACGAAGGACTTCTGAAAGGCCCTCTCGTGAACAGCCTCGCTTGAGTCTTGCGAACGGAAGACTGCGGCTTCCTGGACGGAGTTCATCCATCTCACATCCAGTCTTCTCCTGTCGGGGCTCCTCAACACAGGATACGACCAATGTTCCCTCTAAGCTGTGGAGTCTTGTGAGCAAAACGTCTACTTTGTGAGCTACTGGCTTTAAAGCTGTAAGCAGGCGATTTGGCTGCTGCATCAATTAGTGTGCTCTGGAGCCAATCCTTCCTGAGCTAAGACAAAAATGTGTGAGCCGGAGGCTGAAAAACGGTGAGCTCGCTCACACTAACTCAGCTTAGAGGGAACACTGCTGATAACACATTATCTGAAGAAAAGAAATGGCAAATACCAATCAATCCGATTTCAGGCTGCCGGCTGCTTCGTGGGCAGGTGGGAAGAGGGCAAAAGGGTATTTGGCAGAGAGTTCCACCAGGCCGGGGCAAGGACTGAAAAGGCCCTTTTCGAGGACAGCCGGATAGCTTTAGGGCTGGGGACCAGCAGCCAGTCGTTATCTGAGAGGCGTAACACTCTCCCAGGGACGTAACGGAGGAGTGGGGGGTGGGTCTCTGTTCCAGTTTGGTGCAGTGGTTAGGATCCCCGTGGGCCAACCAGCGGAGGGCCAACAAACAGGGTACCAAGGTCGAGGGGTCGAGTGTGGGACCCTTTGGTCCCAGCGTCTTTCTTCTCCCAACCCTTTGCCACCGTTCTCAAAGCTCAGCTGCCCTCTCTCGTCACGATGTTTGATGCGCGGGTGACGTGCCAGCCCTGGGGGACGCCGGTCACGGGCAAAGGTGACTCCACCCCACAATGGAACACTGGACTCCGCTTGACCGACAACACACACACTCACACGCTTCACTACGGTTCTTTCCCTGCCCAAAAGCGCTAACTGCAATCCTTACAACAGGGCCGAATGACTCTCCTCTCCCCCACACTGCCAATGGGGGAGCAAAGGCAGCCTGTATGCCTCCTCCCTTCCTTGGACCCGGCACGGCAGAGGATCCCCGATCGCTGCATGATGCCAGCATCGAACATAAGAACATAAGAGATGCCAATGTTGGATCAGGCCAAAGGCCCATCCAGTCCAACACTCTGTATCACACAGTGGCCAGAAATACCAGGGGCCATCTGGAGGTCCACCGGTGGGGCCAGGACACTAGAAGCCTTCTCATTGTTGACCCCACCCCCAAGCACCAAGATGACAGAGCATCACTTGCCCCAGTGCCCCTATCTATACCTTGTGGCTAATAGCCACTGATGGACCTCTGCTCCATATGCTTATCTAATTCCCTCTTGAAGCCGTCCATGTTTGTAGCCGCCACCACCTCCTGTGGCAGTGAATTCCATGTGTTAATCACTCTTTGGGTGAAGAAGGACTTCCTTCTATCCGTTCTAACCCGACCACTCAGCAGTTTCATGGAGTGCCCACGAGTTCTTGTATCGCGAGAAAGGGAAAAAAGTACCTCTTTCTCTACCTGCTCTTTCCCATGCATAATCGAAAGATCTCTGGGAGCACCCTGACCTGGAACAGCCCGGGCGAGCCCGATCTCGTCAGATCTCGGAAGCTAAGCAGGATCAACTCTGGCAAGTCCTTGGATGGGAGACCTCCTTGGAATACCAGAGGCGGGGGCAGGCTTTACTTGGCCACCTCTCTGAATATCCTCCAGGCCCCCAGCAGGGGTCAGCCACCAGAGGTCGCCACGCCTTCCAGGGGCACGCGCGCACACGCACGTATGAAAAACACCAGAAAGAAAAAAGATCTCCGAGAGCCATTCAGGAACAGGAAGGGAGGTGGCGGGATCAATTTAAAACTGGGAGTTGATTTTGGGTTGTTTTAAAAGACTGGGCAGAAATTCTTTCGGGAGGAAGCATCCTCCCTCCAGGCTCCCAGATGCAAGCAACGCACAATTTTTAAAGGCGAACACAACCTACAGAAGTGACAGGAAAGGCGTTTCCACACCGGAAATTTGAGAAATCCTGGACTGTAAAGGCAGGAAACAGAGAGAGAGAGAGAATGAGCGCAAACCACTGTGGGCTCACCTCAGGGCGGGGGGGGGGCAGAGAAGCAGCAGCCAGTGTGCTGTTCGGAAGGGATGTGCCCCCACCCGCTCAACAGCAGCTGGGACCCAGCCAGTGTTCCCTCTAAGCTGAGTTTTTTAGCCTCAGGCTCACACGTCTTAGCTCAGGAAGGGATGGCTGCAGAGCAAACAAATGTATGCAGTAGACAAACTGCTCGCTCACAACTTTAATGCCAGTAGCTCACAAAGTAGAATTTTTGCTCACAAGACTCCACAGCTTAGAGGGAACATTGGGCCCAGCCTGACAGAGCTGGCTGTGAGGACCCCAGGAGAGCCCGACCGGCAGCCTCCGTGGAGCCAACGGCTGTTAACTGGCAGGGCTGGGGTGCAACTCCGGGCCACCAGGAGGGCCGTGGAATTCTGCAAGAACAGCCGGATTCTGCAAGCAGAACTTTGAAATCGCACAGACTCTCATCTTGCAATGATCTGCCCATGTTCGGTGTAGAGAGAGCCAGTTTGGTGTCGTGGTGAAGGGCACGGACTCTAATCTGGGAGAACCGGGTTTGATTCCCCACTCCTCCACTTGCACCTGGCTGGATGACCCTGGGCAAGCCGTAGTTCTGATAAGAGCTGTTCTTGAAAGAGCAGTTTCTGTCAGAGCTCTCTCAGCCCCACCTACCTCACAGGGTGTCTGTTGTGGGGAGGGGAAGGGAAAGGAGTTCGTAAGCCGCTCTGAGACACCTTTGGGTAGTGAAGGGCAGGGTATAAATCCAATCTCCTCTTCTTGCTAGGTTTTTGTGTTATGTTATTATGGTTCTACTAGAGGCTCAGGCCCTTCGCCCTCCCCTTACCCCCCCCCCGAGGTTTGGCAATCTCAGGAAACGCTGCCCACCAGGGGAGCGGGATTGCTTTCGGTAGCCCACAGCCCAGTCTGCCTACAGGACATACTGGTGGGGGGCAGGGGGGGGAGAGGAGTAAACGGCTCAGAATCAAGAACAGCCTCTGAATCATAGACTCACAGAGTTGGGAGGAACCTCCGGGGTCGTCTAGTCCAACCCCCGGCACAACGCGGGAAATTCACAAATACCTCCCCCCTCTCCCACGTACACCCCCAGTGACCGCTGTTCCACGCCCAGAAGATGACAAAAAACCTCCAGGATCCCCGGCCAAAATGGCCTGGTGGAAAAAAAGGATAGATTTTGGAGAGGAGGTTCAGAAGTGGCAGATTCTCTCCGGAAGATATCCCCGGGGCTTCTTGCTTCTCTGAATTACAACAACAACTCCTGAAGCTTCCTCCGAGTAGCGGCACAGAATGGAAGGAAATTGTCTGGGGGAGTCCTGAATGAGCAGGCCACTAGCTACAGTGGGGCGTTTGGGGGCTCTGCCCCCTTAACTGAAATACCTGCCCCACAAATAGCCGTGCCAAGAACCTGGGGGGGTATTTTTTATATGTGCAAGTGTATTTGTGTGTGTGTGTGTGTGTAAAAACCTTATTTTTGAGGAGAGAAAGAAAGGGGAATTGTTGGAGGTGTATGGATGGTGCCACTCTTCAGTGCCCTGCTAAGCTTTCTTGCTCTGCGGAAGGGAAACCAAAAGGCATTTAAATGCCTTCTGAAGGCAATTCAATGTCCTCTGAGCGGGTTTTTCCTAGGAATGGACACGCTCGCTGCCCTGTCCCTTGAAAGGGTGGGCTAGAAACAGGCTCGGAGCCTCCCCCTTTAAAGACAGGCATTCGGATTAATTTAATTAACTGTAATTTAACTGCCCCCTTAAAAATTTAAATGCCCCCCCCGAACAAAAAAAAGTCCTGGCTTATGGGCCTGTGAATTAGACCCTCGAAATGTGCACTTTGCACACCAATCGAGGCCCTCCCACACGGAAGGCCGCGCGCGGAGACCTGAGCGCCTCCCAGAGAGGACGGCCTGCTTTCTGCGGGGAGAACGGCCTCCTTCTCTCCCCCGCCCTCTCCAACACCAGGCCCTGCAGAGGCCGGCAGGGATACGGAGGCTTTCGCCAGGAAAGCAGGAGAGTCAGACTTAACGCTGTCAAAGGTGTCTCTCGGTTGCGAGCCAGTCACCTGGCGCTCTGGGTTTTTGCAAAACACTGCATGCACAAACATGTTGCCAATCCAAGCGGATCGTTAGCCATGACTGTCACTTGGGGCAGTCGCAGGAGTGCACAGTAACGGAGCTCCGGCAGTAAAGAGCCCAGGGGGCGGGCACATGCAACAAGCCCCACCCCCTGTCAGCGCAAGAAGCAGCCAGGTAAGTTGCAGAGCCCCGCCCCAAAACAGTCCAGTGGCACCTTTAAGACCAAGTTTTATTCAGGCACAAGCTCTCCCTCCTCTGTAAGAACAGATCTGCATGTCCCGTCCCCCCCAATACCTAGCAATCCAAAACAGTCCAGTGGCACCTTTAAGACCAAGTCTTATTCAGGTACAAGCTCTCCCTCCTCTGCGAGGACAGAGCTGCACGTTCCCCCCCGCCCCCAAATAGCTAGCAATCCAAAACAGTCCAGTGGAGCCTGAGCGGTGGGTGTTGCCTTCTGACACACTTCCGGTGATGTCAGGGGTGTGTGGCCTATGTAAATAAGGTATGCTAATGAGTTATGCTAATGAACTCCTGCGCCTTTTTTTCTACTAAATGACCCCTGATTGAGACGTACACCCAAAGGGTGAGATTTTATTAAAGCCCAGCATTTACGACTGATTCGTATAATGAGTTAATTGTCCATTTACACAGCGGCCCGCCGAGAGGAGGGGTGAGCGGGGAAGGCGGGGAATGACTCAATTGGGCTGTGTGACAATACGCGCCGCCCAAAAAGCTGACTGTTGCTGGACTGCACGGCCAGGAAAGAATACGGCGAAGCAGCCAGCTCAGTTGCTTCCATCGGACCAGCAAAGAGTCAAACTGGGCCACTGAAAAATCAGCTCCCTGCTCCCAACCAGTGAGTATGCAAACACATCTAACAATGGCGCTTATGTAAAAACTGCGCCGCTAAACCAGACCAAAGTTCTCTCCAGTCTAGGGAGGTGAAGACATGGGGGGAAAGAAACACAGAAAAATCATAGGGGTGGGTGGGAAATAGACCCTCTTCCCATCCCATGGAATTATTTTCTGTTTGGAAGACCCTTTTTTATAGCAGTTCTGCCTTTCCAAATGTACTAAGTCACATGTACTTTTTTTTTTTTTTTTTTTTTGTTTTCTGAAAGTAATAAAGTTTAGACCTAATAGGAAAGGCAGTGCTGCAATAGCTACAAAAAATAAAAAAGCAGTACTGTGCTGCCCCTAGCCAGCGTTAATGCACCTTTAAGAGTAGTTGCGCCTGGGAATTGGAGTCCACAGTTAGGGGTCCCAGAAGCTTCTGGGACCCCTAACTGTGGACTCCAATTCCCAGGTGCAACTACTCTTAAAGGTACATTAACACTGGCTGGGGGGAGTTGATAGCTGGATAGAGCGTTACACCTTTCTGATCTAGGTCAATCCTATGGCCGTGGTGAGAAAAGAGATGGGCTTCCCTCTCTTTGCAGTAAGGGTTGATGGACAAAGAAACGGAAAAGAACAATAAAACTCCTATCTTTGCGCCTCTGAGCTCAGGAAATTACTCTTAATGAGCCAGTCAGAGGGAAGCTTCTGGGACCCCTAACTGTGGACTCCAATTCCCAGGGTGCAACTACTCTTAAAGGTACATTAACGCTGGCTGGGGGCGGCACAAGTACTGACTCATCTTCCTCACCAAACTGTACCCCCACCGCTGCCGCCCTGCCCTAACCACCACTCGTGGTTTAAAAACACCCAGAAATTTCACGTCTCAATTTCAGTCCCCAGCCTCCGGTCTCCGAGAGCAGCAAGACCCGCGACCTCCACGCTCACAATCCCCGTGTCCCCCGTTCGTCTCCGGCAGCTGACGCTCGGAGGGATCCCTGTTTCCATACAGGGGCTCTGTCTGGCCGCCTGCGCCCACTCCCGCCGTAAGGACCTTCGGCCGACTCACCCGTCAGAATGGTCTGGAAGGCCGCTTCCACATTCGTCGAGTCCAAAGCAGAGGTCTCGATAAACGAGAGGCCGTTCTTTTCTGTGGGGAAAAGCAGAGAGGGAGATACCGTGAACTCCGTGGGCCCAGGCTGAGAACCAGTCCCTGGCTTTCCACCGCAATTAATTTTTTTATTTATCTCTGGATTTATATCCCGCCCTATCCCAAAGGCTCAGGGCGGCTAACAGGAGGCCCGCAGTGCCAAGATTAAAACAAATAAAAACACCATAGCATAAAACAATAAAGTACAATAACAAAATATCATCCCTCTCTTTCATTCTTTTATATTTACAAATCTGTGACCGATCGTGGAAATCTCTGATCCCACTCATATCTAATATACATAACACTATCGAACATCAAACACAGTCTACTTCTAGATGGTGCGAATCTATATCCTTGTGGCTAATAGCCACTGATGGACCTCTGCTCCAGATGCTTATCTAATTCCCTTTTGAAGCCCTCCATGCTTGTAGCCGCCACCACTTCCTGTGGCAGTGAATTCCAAGTATTCATCACTCTTTGGGTGAAGAAGGACTTCCTTTTATCCGTTCTAACCCGACCGCTCAGCAATTTCATGGAGCAATTTTCATGGAGCAATTTTCATCCCTCTCTTTCATTCTTTCATTCTTTTATATTTACAAATCTGTGACCGATCGTGGAAATCTCTGATCCCACTCATATCTAATATACATAACACCATCGAACATCAAACACGGTCTACTTCTAGATGGTGCGACAAGGCCTAATCAAATTGCGAATGTTTTTAAAGACAGATAGTGCTCATCCCGGAACAAAAGTTGCAATTGTGAGTGTGATAAACGAACATGATTCAACTTATGTAGGTGCGCTATGATTTACAAATGTCTGTCATCCCTCCTTCTGCCAGAGTCACCTCGCACCCCGAAGGAACCAGGTGGTGGTGGTGGTGATGGTGCGATGGTGCATAGATAGCAATGATGGGGTAGTGGTGGTGGCGGCTCCTACTCAAAAGCCTGGCGGAAGAGCTCCGTCTTGCAGGCCCTGCGGAACTGAGAAAGATCCCGCAGGGCCCGGATCTCTTCCGGGAGCTCCTTCCACCAGGTAGGAGCCGCCACCGAAAATGCCCTGGCTCTGGTCACTGCAAATTTAATGACCCTGGGGCCTGGAATTTCCAGGAGATGACGACTCCCCAACCGTAGTGCCCTTGGGGGAACATAGGGGGAAAGGTGGTCCCTCAGGTAGGCTGGACCCTGGCCATGAAGGGCTTTAAAGGTAAGAATCAGCACTTTGAAGCGAATCCGGTACGCTATTGGCAGCCAGTGCAGCGCTTTCAGCACAGGCTGAATGTGGTCCCTCCTAGAGAGACCCATCAACAGTCTGGCTGCAGTATTCTGCACTAGCTGCAGCTTTCGGATTTGTGACAAAGGCAGCCCCATGTAGAGAGCGTTACAGTAGTCTAGCCTCGAGGTAACTGTCGCATGGATCACAGTGGCCAGGTCATCATGGCTAAGGAAGGGGACCAACTGCCGAGCCAGCCGAAGATGATAAAAGGCTGACTTGGCAGTGGCTGCCACCTGGGCCTCCATCGTTAAAGAGGAGTCCAGGCGCACACCCAAACTCCTAACCTCCGACGCTGGCACCAGAGGCACCCCATCAAAAGTCGGGAGAGGGAGCCCCAACCCTGAGCCGATCCGACTCAGGCCCAGGACCTCCGTCTTTGCCGGGTTTAGTTACAACCGGCTCAGACTGAGCCACCCAGCCACAGCCTGTAACGCCCGATGAAGGTCATCCGGGGCAGAGTCTGACTGGCCGCCCAGCATCAGATAGAGCTGGGTGTCATCGGCATATTGATGACACCCAAGCCCACAACTCCGGGCAATCTGGGCAAGGGGGCGCATGTAGATATTAAACAACACCCGGGACAGCACAGCCCCCTGAGGCACCCCACACTCAAGGGGATGTC